ATGCTCCAGCTTGGGTGCTCCGATCATTCGTGTGGCACGAAAACTGAGATGAAATTCAACTAGAGACATGAAATTCAACTAGAGAGGTGAAATTCAAGTTAGACTCGGAGTTAATAGACGGGTGCTAAAATGCAGATACCAAAACTGTGATTATGTAGATACGATCGCGAGCCGAACTATGCAACTACAGGCATGAAATTTTTTACTTCGTGTCTACTGTAATGGCATGCCATTTGTGTTAATATTACATAGATTCAGCTCCTTTGTCAGCTATGCGTCATTCAATTGTGTGTGTGTGTGTATGAGTGTGCGTGGGTCTGTTCGGGTAAGAGGCAACCAGGCAAGCTCCGGCGCCAAAATTTTGCCGCGAGTTTCTGGACCTAATGCCACCCTGTAACCGCGGTACCAGCCCTCACGCACGCCCAGACGTACAACCACTTGGAAGTTTTGGCGGAAAGACTCGGGAGCCAGAAAAGCTGGGAGGCTGAAACTTCCAGGTACTGTTCCCCACTGATGTAGAATTGAACGATTTCAAATTCAGCCTCCAGGTGTGCGTTCTCCTCACGTATGGCCCTCGCGAATGTTTTTGACGAGGAAATCGCTAACTCAAGAACCAGAAAAGCTGAAATTTTAAGGGGATGTTCCCTCTCCAAGTACCACTTAGTTCCACAATTAACTTCCCAAATTTCAAGGGCAAGTCTGTCACAATGTCTGGCTACTGGGCTTATCCCAAGCCATCTCACCACAGCACGAAACATTACAAAAACGCTTGATCGCCCGGGCTTGTCTGGTGCGCATCACCAGTGATTATAATTGTGGAACGGTATGACTTTTTAACTATGCGTTCAGGGTCAATGTAACAAAGTAACTCCGTAAATAACACCGTAACAAAGTAAGCGTGGGAGTTTCTAGGAAATTTGAATCCATATGACTTAAGTTATAGATTCGAGCAACTGCTGTCTCGTAAGGAACGCTTTCTCAGCGCATATCTTTTTTAAACGAACATACAGAAAGCTGTAGCTACAAGTATACGTTATTTCATCTGCATATTTATTTCGTACGCTGTGCAACACAGTAACCCAGGCTGGAACGTACCAGGCAGG